CTTGTAGAGCTTGCCCAGGACTGAAAGCCGAAATTTTCTCATCATGAAGATTCGAAAATTTTCTGTGGAAAATAAAGATTTGTACTTGCAGCACGATAACCTTATTTTCCTACGAAAACCTTCTTGAGAAAGAAAATCAACGTGCGGAGTTGACGGTTCAGGGAATTCCAATTCTGCTTCAAGCGTAGCACAACGTTTGCAATGCACAAATGAAAACAGCTTGAAAACTCTTTTTCCAAGGAAGGGGATTGCCTGTAGCTGAACTTCCGTCTCTCTGTGGTCCTTGCACTCGGTGAGAAAAACAGTTCTGACCCACTCTTGGTCTGAGGAGGGGGCCAATTCCCTTCCTTGGTCAACAGTTCCCTTGGCTCAGGGATTGCTGCAGGTTGACAACAATGGCTCGCACTTGAGCCAGGACCTCATCATCTCTTATCCTCTTGTCAGGTGGAAGGCCACGGAAGTCCAAACGAGACGGGGCGTCAGCTACATTAGATTTGCTAGGCACCCGCCCGTAAAATGTGAACATGCCCATTGCTTCTTCCAACAGCGCACAAGTGTGGGCCAAGAGGCTGAGGGTCTCCGAGTCGCTCGTCATCTTGAGCAAGGTTACCCGTGCGGCCTCATTGTCCAGGTAACACATGATGTGGCGCTCTTTGATGAATGCCTCGCAGAGGACGAAGGACAAAAGCACCGCCAAACTTTCCAACTCGTTTATGACTTTCTGTTTGCCGGCCACCAGCACCTCAGCCGGCTCCTGAGGCAAAGAGATGCCGAACCAAGCCAGAATGTTCCCTTGCTGGTTGAAGAGCACGGCTCCGAGTCCCATGTGCAAGCCTGCCTCTCCTTCCTGCGAAGCATCCGTGAAAAGGTACACGGTCTCAGACGAGAAGGCTCTCAGGGTCCTGGGTCTGGCCTCAGAAATATAGTCCTGAAGTTGAAGCAGGCAATTGCGAAGGGCAGATTGGTGCTGTCCCTTTTCGTGCCTGGGCGCCGAAGCGTATTCAGAGATCCTCCGCATGAGTCTCTTGGGCACCCGGCCCGTCAATTGGCTGGAGACGAAGTGTAGGCGTCCCCTAAGACGATTCCATGTTTTGGGCCAAATTTTTCCCGAGGTTGCAAGCTCTGCCAAGTCCTTGATCAACTCGTCGGTCCTCTCCTTCGTGTTCCCGACCTGAAAGGTCTTGTGACCTTCTGCAGCCAAGTTGAATTCCACGCCCAATGCCCTGAAGTGGCTCTTGAACGGCTGTGCCTTGTCACCGTCCCTATCAAAGTCGAAACCCAACAGGTCCAACAAAAAGGAAGCACTGCGATCGCTGGACTGGGCTGCCGTTGAGGTCGAAAGCAAAGTGTAGTCATCGTAAAAACTTGACCACGGCAAAAGCCAAAAGAAGTGTCCCAAATGACACAGAGCTAGGCTGATCCTGATAAAGGAGTGTACAGCTGCTACAGCCCCGAAGGGCAGGCAGAGCAACCTAAACAGCATGACCTGTCCTGTCCGAGGACACTTTACCGCGACGAAGGACATTCTGAGGGCCTCAGTCGACAGCGGGAGTTGTCGGTAGGCCGACTTCAAGTCAATGGTCTTTCCGACCAGGTCTGCATCACTCCTCCGCATGAACATGAGGATGGCCGCCGTGATTGTTTCTGCATCATGCAGCTCAATCTTACCTTCGGATCCAAAACATGCGTTGAGAAAGGACTGGGAGAGGTCATCGATCGGCCTGACCTTCTTGCCTTGTTGAATTGCGAACCGCTTGCTGAATATCGCCCCTTCGGGAGCCTGGTCTAGGCTGAAAGGTCCTTCGGACCATCCCTTGTCCACCTCCTCCATGCTCTTCTGCCAAAGCTCCTCCGTGAATGAGGTAGAGGCCGCCACCTCCTTGACAACCTGCTCGTTGGATTCCTGTGTCAATTCGACCAGGTCCTCAAGACTGAGAGTAGCAGGTCTGAAGTCTGGGGTCCAACCTTCTGGTAGTGCCAAGTGGCCTACGAGGCTGAATCCCCGTGCTAGATCGTCAGCGACCGCCTTATCAGGATAATGCGACGCCTCAAGCATTTCCTTAAACAGCAGGACTCGCTTGTTCTGTAGACTCTGTTGAATGTGCAGGGGCAAGGACTCCTTGAACTTTTGTTCTGCTTCTTGGAGCTGCGATGCACGCGCAAGCCATCTACGCGACTGTGATGCCCTGATCTTGGCCAGTTCTGAAGAGCTGAGCCTAGCAATCTTGTCTATGGCCTGCTTCAATGCAGGTGGGATGCCAAGGTGCATGTGGGATGGGTGTCCTGCCTTTCGGGCCTGCAGAACGAACTCCTGAGGAGACCAACACACATCCAGCCAAACGTCCGTAGGACTCCCTGAGACGGGAGACACTTTGATCTCTCCCACTGTCTGAACTTTCAACCCCGGGATCCGATCCACTGGCATCCACGTTGGCCTGTAGACCTGCTCTCTTTGAGCTCGCGACACTGTCCACCGCAGCGTCTGTTTGAATTCCGGCAACATCCTGAAGGATGCCGCTCTTTTGGTGTGTGCCTTGGTGGTCAGTACTTTGGCCGTCGCAGTTGCTTGCCCGAGGCAGCTCTGGACCTCTCTCTCATCTTTGAATCCGCGTTCCCGCAGATGCCTCGTGAGTGCTAGCATGAAAGTCCTGCAGAACACATTGGTATAGGCAGTCTCTTGCTTTGTAGCGAACTCTCCATCAACTACCCCCCAAGGCAGGTGTTCATGTTGACCATCACACTGCACGGCTAGAGCATGTATGATCTGATCGTTTGCCAGCAACGCAGTCTTTTTAAGACGTTTACCCCCAAACATGCAGAAGTCGCAGCGAACGAGCACTGCTCTGTCGTCCTGCAAAATGGATGTAATTTCCGGAAGGTGCCAGAAGAAGCTGCGGTATGGATTCTCAATGACCACAAGAATGTCATGTTGCAGGCAAAAGCTCCAAATCTCAGCAGTTATGCGATACAGACTGTTAGCCTTCCCAACCCGGTCGGCCTCGTCGGGGCTCAAGTCAGGCCTGCCTGCTGGGTTTTCTGAAGTCCTCAGCGGTCGTGGTTCGGAATCTCTGCGGAGTGGTATTTCGCGTGCTCTGCTGGCCGTGCCGCACGGAGGCGCCAGCCAAACCGCCACTAGCCCTGGGGCCCGTAGCCATTTCCAAAGCAACTGACGGTGAGATGGCAGCAGCAAATCAAGTTGAATGACCTTGCCTCTTCTGGAGGCTAACCTAACATGATCGATCCCAACTGAGCGGCTAAGGCCCTCGGCTGCAGCAGCCGCCACCATTGCTGCAGTCCCGGCAAAGATCTCCAGAATCCAACATCCCTGCAAAAACTGTGGCCGTCGTGTCTCTGCACTCTGATTTCCGCTCTCCTCCGTTGCCTGGGGAGAGTCCGGCAACTCCGGTGCCGTCTCCGGAGCGCGGCTAGCCGACCCTTGTTCTAAGGGAGGTACAGCGCATCCGTCGCTTGTGTTGGCCTGTTGTTGCTGTTGCTCCTGGGAGCTTCCGTGATCCTTAGCCTGTGCTTTCTTGACGAGAGGCTCAGCACATTGTTCCTCCTGATGCTTCAAAATTGTCTCAGAGTCCTGTGTACTCTGAAGTGGCAAGACCACTGAGGTCTCGCGAAAATTGTCCAAAACCTCTGAGGCTCCTAACGTGCTCTCACGATTGGGAGCATCTTGATGCGCACTGTCCGCTACCTTAGCAGCATCATTCGGCGCACCCTGAGGGGTCACCAATTCTCAGGCCTTGGGTGCTTTGTTTTTGTGCTCTATGAATGGGTGCTTGCCGAAGCAGCCCGGGAAGCAGCATACGTGACGACCCTTAGGGCAGCGGCCTCCCACTGGGGCCTCCTTACATTGCCCCAGTCCAAAGCCAAAGCAAATGGCCTCTCCGTTATCGTCAGCCGGCACACCACCACGAAGGCCAGCTGGCATGGGCGTGGTGTTCCTGCTACTCCGATAGTCCAAAGACATGTTGATAAAGGGCGTCTTCGAACTGTTCCCTTTCCCTTTACCATCGTCCTTGCCCTTGAAAGCAGGCTTTCCTCCACCCTTACCTTTATCGGTTCTCTGCCACTTCTCTTGATGTGTCCACTGACTTCCCTTGCCATCCCCCCATCTCTTCCATCGTCCCCCGTGGCCCCCTTTGTCATGCAGCTGCTGCGGTGCATGCACCAAAGGCATGAAGTGAAAATTCACATCCATCGTGCTGCTAGCCTCCTCGAAGGCCTTGTCCAGGCACCTGGCGTCTGCG